AGAGAGGAAGGGAGGGAGGAAAGGAGAGGACTCTGTACTGTATTCTGTCATATGATGGATTTTTTCCCCTTGACCATATACCTGTATTCATTGGGCACAAAGATGATTATTAGTCTTAAGCCAAGTTTATGAAACTGAATTGCATCAACTTTACCTTTGAATTGATTTCATATGTAATTATAGCAGAAAAACCAAGAGAAAAATATAGAATTAAAGTTAATCCTCATTAAAATTTTTGAGTATATATATTTTACAATATTTTAAACTTATATTTATTGCCTAGAAGTTATTGCTGAGTAGGCTTTTCTAAACTACAGTATGAGACATGGGTTAAAGTTTTACATAACTGAATATATCTAGAGTTAAATATTAGTATTAGAAGGGTAGACTATTAAATTTTAATTCAGTGGAATGTCAATAAAAATTATAGAAACAACCGGAGTTTTTTTAGGTAATAGGTGAAGAGTCATAGCAGTATCTTCTTGAGAGATTAATTTGTTAGTTGCTGTTAGCTTTTCCTGAGTTTAATCTCAAGGTAGTATAACAATGCTGAAGAAATTTAAAAATAGTAGATCACTTAATTAGCTGTTGCTTTGGTAGTGCTGTGTGACAATACTGAAATGTTTGATGGCTTCAACAATAAACATTTTGTTTTTTAAGTTACGGTTCTGGGGGTCTGTGAGGGAGATTATACTTCTGGCTGTGGATTAAATTCAAGTCTTATTCACATGTTGCATTTTGGGTCCATATTCTTTTCTTGGTCTTCTCAAGAGACCAAGCCAAATAACTCAAGCAAATTTAAACTGTCTGCTCAGGTTTTGTTTATTGATATTCTGTGGCTCAGCCCAAAATGATTTGGGCAGGGAAATATTTTGCCTCACTTACTCTCTTGGGAGGCATTATAAAGTCCTATGGCCAGAGGCACAAATGTACAATTCTGTAATAGAGAGGGAGTAAAAAATTGGTAAAAATAACCTGATCTATCACAGTTAACTTATGAATGTCATCATCCTAATACAGATTTTTAAATAAAATATTTTTTTTCCTGTATTACATTCTGTTTTTATGATAGGAGTATTACACAGCAATAATCATAATGTGCCTACCATTTTAAATTCCTTTTTGTCCTTTGCTGGCTTCCTATTTTGGTTATAAAATATTTTCCTATTGTCTTTTAAACCATCCTTTGACTGTAATTACCACTTGTGTTATCCTGTGTTTGTTCCTGTGATTATTTCAGTTAATTCATTTCTCTATTTTTTCTTTCATTCATCATATCCACTACACTGTTAATCTGGGAAATTATTGTCAACTTTTCAGATTCTCTGCTCTTCCTTTACTCAGATTTCTGTTCTCATACCTACTATATGAAACCATATTGCCATCTGCAGCCTGTTAAAATATAAGCTTGTATGTCTTTTGGCTAGCATATAGTTACATTAGGACTCATTAAGCTTCAGGTGACAGAAACTCAATTTAAACTAGCTTATGTAAAAAGAATTTATTGGAAGGGATATTTTATAGAATTAAGGCAACAGTGGATTTACCAAGACTGAGGATGGGAACAGATGGAGCTAGGCTTCAGGAGTGACTCAAAATGATGGACTCAAGTAAGACTCTCTTGCTTGTCTGTGTATAGGAATGATTCTCACTCTCTCCCTACATACTGGCATTCTTCAGACGGGTAAAAACATGGCCACCAACAATTCCCAGTTTACATCTTAGACTAAAAGGCAGTATGACAGTGCAGGGCAGAGCATTACTCTGAAGTAATTACTTGAGTCCTGGCTTTACATTTGCTATTTTGTGAGAACTTTCAAGTGATTGGTGCTTTTAAGAACAATTTGTTCCACACATTTATTGAATATCTACTATGTACTATGTACTATGCCAGGAATGGAGTATTCCCTGGTAAACAAAACAGAGTTTGGGTTTGGGGAGGGTGCTTATTTAGATAGCCTTAGCATCGTGACGGCCTCAGGCTTCTCGGCCATCCTTTCCGTATCTCAGCTCCTGCTATTCTCACCCATACTCATTATGATCTAGCTATCATGGTCTCCTTTTCATTCCTCAATAAGGCGTTTCTCACATCAAGTTCGTTCTCCCTAGTTCTTTCCATGGCTTATTCATTCTTTTAACCCCAGACATCAGTTGGATCCGTATTGCCTCCTGCCTTCTCCTCGCCTTCTGTAATACTTATTCCAGTATGTGATCCTGATTTACTCTCATCTGTATTATTTATCTCTTCCATAAGAATGTTAGCTTTGGGAAGACCAGGACTGCATTGTCTTTACTCATCATTTAGTCTCCAGTTCCCATTATAGTTTCCAGCTAGTAGGGACTCATAAAATATTTGTTGAATGGGTGAATGAAAGCTGATATCAGTGGAGTCAGTCATACGAAGGTAGGAAGCAAGAGCTAAGACTCTAAGTTGGGACTGAATTTTCTGTGATTAAAGAGTTGAAATGATAAAGTGACAGAGGCAAGGGTGTGTTGGGCCTTGTAAGTGCTGTTAAGGAGTTTGGATTTTGTTTGAATTTTAGTAAAAAGATTTTAGTCTGGAGTTTTAATGTAATTCAGTGTATTTCCTAAGTGTTCTTTGGTAGCTCTGCAAAGAGTAAATTAGGGAGGAGTAGAATGGAGGAAGGAGATGGGTTCGAGACTTTTATAGTCGATAAAAACATTGCTTGGATTAGGCTGGTAAAATGGATATAGAGCAAGATGGGATAGATGTCGGGTGTATTTTAGAGGTGGGGCTGACATGCTGATAGAGATGAGTTAAGGATGAGACCCAGATATTTTGTGTGTGCAACTTGGTAGGAGGTGTTGTTATTTACTGAAATGGAAAATCTGAATGAGAAGCAAGTTTGGAGAAGACATTAGAAATTCCATTTTGATCACATTTGCATTACTGAGAATTCCACATGGGTTCCAAATAAGTAATTTAGAGGAGTCATTTGGGTTGGGGTAGAAATTTGGGACACCGTCAGCATATAGATAGTATTTAAATTCATGACAATGAGAGATATTACTTATAGTGTGTGGCAAGGAATCAGAAAAAAGCTCAGGACCTGAACTTGGGGAATTTCTAACATGTAGATATTAAGTAGAGGAGTGGCAGCTGAAAAGGACTTGGAGAAGGATTGGCCACACAAAGAATACCTGGAATGTGTCTTGGCAATCAAGGATTCATGGGGCAATCTGGAAGGGTAAAGACATGGCTGCTAACACATACTGCATTTTTAGAAACATATAACATACAAAATAAGAAAAACTTTGAGAGGACAGATGAATGTACTTGAAGGGTTTTAAAAAAGAAGGATATTAACATGTCTAACAAATAAATGATGGCTATCTTGTTAGCCTAGGAGTATAATTATTTTTTATTTTGATATTAGTGGAATTTTTGATTTTTTAAATAAAGTTGGGAAGTAATTTTTTAAAAAAGTATAACTTGAAGCTGCAAGTACTTTTTTTCTAAGGGCCAGGAGTAATGGTGTTAGTGTCACCTAATGGCAAAATGAGATATTGCAGCCATATGTATATGCTGCAATGAACAAAGTAACCGAATTAGAAAGAGAAAAAGAACGTTTCTGGGGGAATTTAGGCTTAGATCAGCAGGCTACTATAGTTACATGGTCCTCTCCTATTTAACCCTGGCTTACTTGTTTTACCCCTTTTCATATTACCTTTTGGTCACTGAGCAGGTCCTTTTTATTGTCTTTCAGTTTTCAGCTCAAATATTACCCTTTTGGAGAGTCCTTTCCCACCACCACCTTACTTACAGCTGTCCCTACACTCCTTACAGCTAAGCTACCCTTTGTCACATTAACCTCTTTCATTATCTTCATAGCCTTTAGAGCATCGGTTCTCAACCTGTGGGTCGCGACCCCTTTGGGGGTTGAACGACCCTTTCACAGGGGTCGCCTAAGACCATCGGAAAACACATATATAATTACATACTGTTTTTGTGATTAATCACTATGCTTTAATTATGTTCAATTTGTAACAATGAAAATACATCCTGCATATCAGATATTTACATTATGATTCATAACAGTAGCAAAATTACAGTTATGAAGTAGCAACGAAAATAATTTTATGGTTGGGGGTCACCACAATATGAGGAACTGTATTAAAGGGTCACGGCATTAGGAAGGTTGAGAACCACTGCTTTAGAGTGATTTGGAATTATCTCATTTGCGTCATTGCTTGTTTTCTCACTAGATGTCAGCTCCAGGAGAGCAGGCTGTTCACTCATGTAACTCCCGTGCTGAGTGCAGTGTCTGCTATGTAGTAGTATTCATGTTGAGTTAAAGTGTGAATATTTGGAGAATGTTGAGTTTCTGTGGTGTAGAGATCTATCCAGAAAATAGAATTACACTGTATTTGATCACTGTAACATTGTTTGCTACATAAATGCAATGTGAAAGCTTTGACACCACCCCCCCCACCCCCCAGCTCATAAGTGGTAATGTGTCTGGAAAAAAAAAGATATATGGCTTAGGGTGTTGAATTGTATATTAGTTAATTTTAGCAACATAAAATATTTTTGAAAGTACTATATATGGTCTTGAGGAGATACGTTTTTTAAGACATTTAGATTTAATTACAAAATAATTCTGTGAATATATTTGTGTGTGTGTGAATTTGTAGATACTTCTAATATCATGCTTAATATTTTCCTCTATTTATTAAAAACAATAAAAATAGTATTTCTAGGATAAAAATAGTTAAACAGTAGTAGTTGAGATATGGGCGGGTTTATATTGTTTTTCGGGGAACAATATGGTTCTGTTAGTCTGGAAACTCAGGGCGAAGAGAGTATATTTCCATTATGTGGCCCAGTCCAAGAGGGTAGCTTCCCTAGTTTTGAGATAATTGTCTAGTGAGAAGAATTCTTCTTCACATGAGCCATTTTTAAAGGCTGAGGATTGATCAGTTCATGTTTTTATTCAATAGTTTTTGTTTTTGTTTTCAATCCTTGCGGCTTTGAACAGGTGGATGTGGGAAGAGATTTTTGCAGGACTGAAATGGAGGTCAGAGCTTCCTTACAGAAGGTTACTGGGTCATCGGATTCTGTGGCTGCACAGAACAGTGAAGAATTTGTTTTGGTTCCTCAGCATGCAGGTGATACTTCTACAAAAGATGAAGAAAAACCTGAACTGAAGGTAGTTTTTCTTTCCTACAAACGATACTATTTTAAATTATGGCTTTTTTTTTTAACTAGGTGAAAGGAGATGTATAAAATCCAAAGGTTTTTCTCAAGTGTTGACTGTGAGAATAGAGTCAATGTTTGATGCATTTAGAGGCTTATTATTTGGTTTGTATATTTTTGAAACTTTTTGCTTTTGGTTATATATCTTTTAATTCGGAATTTAGAAAGGAGGAATAGACGAGGAGAAAGAGAAAGGATAATTGAGAATTAGACTTAATGGTTAAATCTTACATAAATGTAATTTATCTGAATATTTTTATCTCTCTTACTACTGGGTTAAGTTGATTATATAAATAGTTATGTTTACTTTCACTTTTTTTTTCGTTATGACCTCAAATCAGCTGGTAAAATTGTAGTATGTGATTTAACAGTTGACTTGTTTAAATATTTTAAAAATATATGTCTTTTATTTTTAGTGTTTGTATTTGGTTATGCTCCTTTTCCTTTTTCATTTTTGTGTTGCCTTTCCTAACTCAAAGAAAAAAACAAGCAAACCCAGGTATATATGCATGAGAATTGCATAGCTATCTTCTAGAAACAGGGGTAGAGAAGTTAGTCAGAACTGCTACATATTTTTTAAATGATTTTTGTTTAATTTAAACTATGGCATCAAAGATATATTAGTATACAAATCTAATAAAATTATATAAAAATCAGGTTATTAAATACCCATTTTACCTTATGTTGAAGATATAGTTTTATAATTTTGTTAAAATAACCAATAGCTTTATTTAAATTTCTATTTAAACAAATAACTATTTAAATTTCTTTGAATATCTGTATTTTAGTATTAATGTATTTAAGATATTATTTATTACTTAGGTTTTGTGTCTTCTCTGCTTTTAAGAAAAACCTGAGTTAACATAAATATAAAGAAATTAGCAACACTCCTCTTGGCAGCTAGAAAACAAAATTTATAAAGAAACCAGAAATATGTTTATGTTATGATAAGAAATATGACATTTTAAATGATATCACAGTAGACTGTGGCCTATTTAAACTTATCAGGTTTTCCCTAAAGCCCGTACATTTAAGAATATTTGGTTCTGGAATATGTTTTGAAATACTAAAAAGAAAATAACAAGAAAAGAGAATCTCTGTAAACAAGTTCTCAGATCAGATGTACTTGGAAAGTGCCTGAAGCATTTTCTGAGAAATCCTTTTCTGAAACTAATAATCTTCTAGTTTGGCTGTTTTTGTAATTCAGGATTTTGTATTATATCTAGTAAAATTAGGTAAAACTGTATAAATTCTTGATGTTAAGTTAACTATATTTAAACAAATATTTAGATTGTTTTAATTTCTTCTATAAGTGAAATATTTTCATTCAGCTCCAGAACCATAATATGATTGAAACAGAATTGTCTTGCTTTGTCTGTAGATAGTTTCTAATGGTGATGAACAATTGGAAAAAGCCATGGAAGAGATTTTGAGAGATTCTGAGAAAGGGCAAGGCAGCCTTCTTGTGGATCGTCAAAGTTCCAGTGAGATTTCAGACCATTCGCTTGGCGATGTTTCAGCCAGCCAAACAAATAAGCCATCTCTTCAGTTAATTTTGGATCCATCAAATACAGGTACTGTACTGAACTCATAGAAACCATAGGAGAAGTGGGATAAAGTGATACTGAAAATTTAAAAATCCTGTTAACTTTGTTTTTAAGATCAGGGCCACCAGCTTTTCAGTGCTGGTTGAGAGCTCCCACTTTGGTTCTTACGTTTCTGTGAAATTTTGCATTGACTTTTGAGTGGTTTTTTTTTTTTTTTCTTTAGAAATTTCTGCACTCAGACCATCTTCTCCAAGTGGATTGCCGGAAGAAGATAGTGTTTTATTTAACAAACTGACCTACTTAGGATGTATGAAGGTTTCTTCCCCGCGTAATGAAGTAGAGGCTTTACGGGCAATGGCAACTATGAAATCTTCGAGTCAGTACCCCTTTCCTGTTACTCTGTATGTGCCAAATGTTCCAGAAGGTTCTGTGAGGTGAGCTGTAATCCTCCTTCTCCTCTTAGACATATTGCAGATTTTGTGTGATGGTGATGATGTTATATCATAAATCAGCCTAGGACTTACTGTTAATTCACTTTTACTCTGTAATGCAAAGAAAACATGTTTAGGCTTAGACTGTGTTCCTTATTTGCAAGGGCCACGTGCAAAATTATACTTAGAATATAAGTGGAAATATAACTATAAAATACATGTAATTCTGTTTTTGTATTCTGAAGAGCCTAATAGCATGCCTCTACCTTGTCATTAACAGTGGGTCAAAAAATTGGAGTGAGCCCTTCATTTTAAGCTCTTTTCATCAGACTGGAAAGAAGCAAAATGTTTTTTTTCCCCTTATACTTAATTAGTAATAATGTTTAATGTCATCTGAACCTTGAATTTCTATTTTTTAAAAAAATATTTTTATTGATTTCAGAGAGGAAGGGAGAGGAAGAGAGAGTTAGAAACATCAATGATGAGAGAGAATCATTGATTGGCTGCCTCCTGCATGCCCACTCCTGGGGATCAAGCCCGCAACCTCAGCATGTGCCCTTGACCAGAACCGAATTCGGGACCTTTCAAGTACGCAGGTTGACACTTTATCCACAAACCAGCTAGGGCGAACCTTGAATTTCTTTACATGTAAATCAGATGTTACTCCAGCATTCAGATTCAGCCCTCCAGTGGCCTTCAGTCACACCTGTGACTATATTCTTTCTCCTCGCTGTTTTTTTCTTTTTCCTTCATAGCACTTTTCCTTGACTCGACATTATATACAACTTACTTGCTTATTTGTTTATTGTCTACTTTCCTCACTAGACATAAGCTCCATGGGAGCAGGGTATTTCTATTTTTCCCTGCTGTTACTTCAGTGTCTAGAGTAGTATCTGGTCCAAGTTTTCAGTAAATATTTGCTGAATGAACAAGTAAGTGTACCAGCTCTAGGAAATTAGGTTGAATGTATCCTAAACCTATAATATTCCCTGAAAGTTGTCTTAATTTTTTTTCAAACTCTTCCCGATTTTCATCATTCTCTAAAGTTTAGAATGTGAAAAAAATGTTAGCTAAGTTCTAAAATAGCAATATAAATTGCAAGGTTTTGGTAAAAATGCTTTGAATTTTTCAGAAAAGGGTTTTGTAGATATATTGTTTGTATAACTTAAAAATGTCAGAATGGCCGAAACCGGTTTCAGCCATTGTTCGGCTCAGTGGATAGAGTGTCGGCCTGCAGACTGAAAGATCCCGGGTTCGATTCCGGTCAAGGGCATGTACCTGGGTTGCGGGCACATCCCCAGTGGGAGATGTGCAGGAGGCAGCTGGTCGATGTTTCTCTCTCATCGATGTTTCTAACTCTATCTCTCTCCCTTCCTCTCTGTAAAAAATCAATAAAATATATTAAAAAAAATGTCAGAATGCCTTTTAATGTTACCTGTTTAGTTTCAAAGTACCAAATACTTTGTGACAAACCCAGTGCTTTGACTTGCCTCTGTTTTTAGTGGATACCCCTCAGTTTCACAGTTTGAGACCCTGCAGTGTTCTTGAATTTTTAGATCAATCTAGGGCTTGGAATTTGTATAGGGAAAGTCAGAGAATAATTTGTCCTTAAATTCCACAGACTCCTTATACTTTTTTTTTTTCTCTCTCCTTATACCTTTTAAATTCTGCTGTTAATTGGATCTGTGGAACCACTCTGACCGTTTTTGTGATAAAAGAGGTCTCAGTTGAACAGTGACCTGGGGCTTGGATAAACTTACAGGTGCTGCTCTCAGTAGAAATGAACTCCCTTTGGATCGCCTATGCTATTCTGTGCTGGCATTCCTTTTCCTTTTCCTGTAACAGAACAAGACTAGCATTTAGGGATGGGTGACAGGCAGTAAGTGAATTAGATCATAGGAAACATAAAAGTGAAGTAATTGTCAAAAGAAGGTGAAGAATTTGTGTGCTTATACATTATATACATATAGCAAGAATATGAAGACAAATGGTTTTCTCACATTATTAGTACCAGTTTATTTTGTGATTTTAAGATGATTATGTTTATATGCTATTGGCATAGTAAAACTATTTGCTTTTGTTCTCTGATAGTTAATATTTTATTTCATTTTCCACCACTGTTCTGCAGAATCATAGATCAGTCCAGCAATGTGGAGATAGCATCTTTTCCAATCTATAAGGTGCTGTTCTGTGCACGTGGACATGATGGGACAACAGAGAGCAATTGCTTTGCATTTACAGAGAGTTCCCATGGTTCAGAAGAATTTCAGATACACGTTTTCACCTGTGAAATTAAAGAGGCAGTAAGTATAATATATTGTAGCAATTGGCTAAGGAGACGAATTAGAGTAGTATTTTTGAGCCCTAATCTTAGTCATAAATTTGTATGTATGAGTATGTACCATATTGTATAAACTTGGAGTATATTTCTAAAGAGAAAGAGCATATTTTTACTGGCATAGAACTGAATATGGAAAAGTCAAATCTTATAACTATGCAGGAAAGTGGTATTATAGGTGGGGCACACTCAGCCTAACAGTTGTAACAGGAGAAGGCCACTTGACGAGCTGTCCTCCCACACCACCATGGTAGTCATTGCTCAGGATTAATTAGAAAGAGGGATTTTTTTGCACCTTTTTATTATTTTGTCCAAGTTGATTGGTCCATGTGATTTGAAAAACTGCCTCTAACAATACCTTTTCGTCTGCCAGGCATGATGGTTGCATATTGCTTGCACTTGGATATTGTACTAAAGTGGTTTCATAGAGCTCTGTAGTTTCACTAGAGACTATTTTTTACGTACATCCACTTAGCGGCTGGCTTTGGCTCTAGAAAACTGGCCTAATTAAATATACAAATGCTCACATATAACAGGGTGTCAACTTGGAGGCCTTTGAAGGGGCCAGGAAGTTTCTTTTAGCCATTCTTAAGTGGTGGTTTCTTCTAAGACTGGAGAAATAATTCAGAATCAAATGGCTGGTAAAACATGGGGAAATTTCCTTCATTTCTGCATCTGTTAATTAAAAAGAAATTGCACTTTTAGAACTTTAGTACTTAGGCTTTAATCAATGGGTTTGGATAAGCAAGGTCGCCAGAGTGTGTGCTTTGGGGAATATAAATTGTCAGCAGAAAATGCTGAAAGCTGTAGTTATTGTCTTTGCTCTTTACCATGAAGCGTAAACAAACATTGTATTAACAGGAGTTCTGAGAGCTTATTTCTGGCCACAACATGTAAACTCATAGAAATAGAGATTTCTGTGTGTTTGATACTAAGCACGAGGGGCATGTCAGTCTTTATTTCCTGAACACCAAAATGAACATGCACAGACACATGTAACTTAGATTGTAGCCATAGAGTTCTCTACCAGAATCCATGCCTGTGTGAGAAGTAGTTCTGATTCTATTTCAGCCAACATTTATGTACACACACACTCTGATGGTAGAGTGCTGGCATTTCATGTTGGCAGCCACCATTTAATATCCCTGTGTGGTTTCTGGACAATTGGCACTCAACAGCAAGGAAGTGAAAGTTGAAGAGTTGCAAAACCTGCTGCTTGGAGAGGCAGAAACACTGCGGCAAAAGGAAGTGGAAAGGGACCTGGCTGCAGCATTCTTCTTAATTGTGACGGTATGAAACTCTCTTTGGATTATAGCATCCACTTATTTATGGGTGGGGAAATCTTTGTCATTTTTGAGGTTTTTAAAATTTGTAATTTTTTATTATTTTTTATTATCCTCATCCAAGGACATGTTCATTGACTTGAGAGAGAGAGAGGCAGAGAGAGAGTGAGAGAGAAACATCATTTTGGTTGCCTCCTGTATGCGCCCCTACCAGGGATCGAACTTGCAACCTAGGCATGTGCTTTGACTGGGAATTGAACCCACAACCTTTTGGTGCTTCGGATGATGCTTCAAACAACTGAGCCACACTGCCAAGGCATCTTTGTCATTTTTTGGAGCTTTAACAGTGAGAAAGCATGGATAAAACTGGGGAATTCTTACCCTTACCATTTTGGATATGGCATTAAATAGTATTTCTAGAGAGAATATTTGGTACTTTGCAGGCTGTGAGCAAGTGATGTCCATGTATTTTTTTATTTCCATGTATTATTATTTTTTAGAGTACACTTTTCAAAGTGTTACATTATAGGACATTGGTGATAAAATTCATTGCTTGAAGGAGAATACAAAATTGTCTTTAAACTTTATTACAAGACATCCTTTCTAGCCCTGGCTGGGCAGCTCAGTTGGTTAGAGCATTTGCCCGATATGCCAAGGTTGCGTGTTCGATCCCCGGTCAGGATACATACAAGAATGAACCAATGAATCCATAGATAAGTGGAACAACAAATCGATGTTTCTTTTTCTCTCTCTTTCCCTTCCTCTCTCTCTAAAATAAATTAATTTAAAAATTTTTATGAAGAAAGGACATCATTTCTAAACGAAGATAACCTCGTGTAAATATAGAGCTTATGCCCGGCACAATGCTGAGCACTTACTCAATACTCATCACATCTCCATGACATAGATAGTATTTATTTAAACTGGTGATCTTATGCTCCTTCTTGCCTGGGCCAGTCATAGTTTATCCCTCTTCTCCAGGTGTATTATTAATGGCACTCCGTTGTGTTCTCAGAAGTGCTCTGGTTTGTTTGGCACATGTAGTTACCCTTTGCTTATCTGAAGACTAAGAGAATAAAGGATGGAGCTGGGTTTCCAATGGAAGTCTCTGACTCTGAAGCCCCATGTAATTTCAGTAACAACTTTTCTGTTGCTTTAATATTGTAACAGGCAAATATGGATTTTTGTCATTCATTTATGCTTTATAAAGGGATTGATTGGTCATAGAGTTTGCATCCCACCTGCCTTTGGTTTTTACCCAGGCTTTTATAGAATATCTTCCTCTCCCCTCAAAAAAACAATTACCCTTTAATTAATTTAAAGTCTTTTTCTTACATCTACCAGTTGTCAGGTTATTTGGTTCCCAGAAGTTTCTTGTTCTGTGGTGAAGGGACAACTTTAGTCCTTAGTATTTGGGCTCTCTTGGTGAGCACAAACAATTGGCAAAGATAGTTTAGGAACATGTGATAGACATTATTATTGCTTAAATATGCACTGTGTAGCAGTGTTGCTAATTAATTTATTTTCCGTTGTTTTTAGAGTTCCCGGATGAGACATGAAGAAGTAGGTTAAGGCAAGAAGATGTCTTTTCAAGTAGGAAAAGCAACATGGCTACCACTACCAGCTGTACTGTCATGCTCTTATTTCACCATATAGTCCCACAAGCAGCAGCCAGCAGCAGTGGCAGAGGGGAAGCTGGCGAAGGTGATGGCCTCTTTGGACCTGTGGCACAAGGATTAGGGGTTCTAACCCCACAGAAGATTTAGGGCACATTTGCCTCACTACCCTAGATGTTCTTCTACAGGACTCTGCTGGAGTGAATCTCAGTAATCTGTGGCGAAAGATCTGGGATCCAGCCCAAAGAATCCTGATGCCGGTGATCATTGTACAGGAGAATGACGGGCTAGGCTTCTGCTGAAAAAGTGAAATATCAGAAAGCATAGAGAAAAAAGCCAAGAAGGCACCTATTTTTGTTACATTTTTATGGATATATTATACAAAACTGATCTTAAAGATACTTTAAAAGGCTTAGTTGACTCTTTAAGAATTTATTTCTACTAGTCAGTGTGATCGTTTTCTTCAAAACAGACTTTGATGTTTGTGTTATTTGTATGTTTTAACATACTTATCATTCATTACTAGCAATTCTCAGTGTTATATTTTAGAAGCACGGTTGTTATCTAGTTTTAGGCATTCAGAGGTGTTTTATGAGAAATATTAAGGGTATCATTGGGAAGATCTTAATTCTTAATGCACTGGTTTTTATTGATGTTATTTTAGCAAAACACTTTACATTGGAAATTAATTCAGAAGTTATGCTGTTAGTGTTTTCTGTAGATTTTTATAAATTTTTAAAAAGTTTATTTTATTTTATGATATGCTTCTTATTTTAGCCCCTTTCACTGAGTAATAAATTTGAATGAGATGTTTTAAAAATTTTAATACATATCTTTCCAGGTGTCTTTTATAGAATGATTTTCCTACATTTATTTTTGGGGTGAATATTTTCTTGACATATGGTGTTTTTATTTATTTATTTATTTATTTTCCACTTACAGTTTACATTTAATATTATATCAGTTTCAGATGTACAGTGTAGTGGTTAGACATTTATATAATTTACCATGTAATTCCTCCTGTTAAGTCTTGTGCCCACCTGGTACTGACACCTGGTCTTTTTAAAAGAGTTGATTCTCTTTTACCAATATTAGTAAAAAATATTTATTTTTGAAAAATGGGCTAGGTTATTTAATTAACTATATTATTTAAGTAAATGTCTTTTTTTAAAAAAAATCCTCACCTAAGGATATGTTTTTACTGATATATTTTATTTATTTATTTATTTTTTTGTTAATCCTCACCCGAGGATACTTTTCCATTGATTTTTGGAGAGAGTGGAAGGGAGAGGGAGAGACAGAGAGACAGACACATCAATTGGTTGCCTCCTGCACGTGTCCTGACCAGGGCCAGGGATCGAGCCTGCAACTGAGGTACATGCCTTTGACCGGTATCAAACCTGGGACCCTTCAGTCTGAGGGCCGATGCTCTATCCACTGAGCCAAACCATCAAGGGCTAAATGATATATTTTAGAAATCAGGGAAGAGAGGGAGGAAGGAAGGGAGAGAGAGAAAAACATCAATGTGAGAGAGAAATATCAATCTGGTAGCTTCCTATATGCTCCCTGGCCAGGGATCAAACTTGCAACCTAGGTATGTACCCTAACTGGGATTTGAACTCACAGCCTTTAGGTGTACAGGACTATGCTCCAACCAACTGAGCCACCCAGCCAAGGCTAAAATAGCACTTTTTTTTTTTTTACTATTAACATGTAGTACATATTTGAGAATTTGGAAAATACTGAAATAATATATATATATATATATATATATATATATATATATATAAATAAAAAAAATATATATAATTCAAAATTTCACCAGCGTTAAGATTTTGGTGTTTCTCCTTTCCATGTATCTACATGCACTCTCCTTTTCACCTCTTCAGAACCAATAACACAATAACAACAACAACAATCCCAACATAGTTTTGTGTTTAATTAGTGCTTTCTATAGGTACTGTGTTCTGGGGAAAAAAATTGTACTGTATTATGTCAATAAACTTTTGCCTTCTGCAAAGAAAAGGCCTATTCTAGTACATTTGTGTGTGTGTGTGTGTGTGTGTGTGTGTGTGCGCGCACGTGCGCGTGCGTGCGCGTGCAATAGTTGGCATATATAGAAATGTTTGCCATGGCTTGTGTTAATTTTCTTGTCATGATATTGGTTACCCGGTTTGTTCCAGTAACTATAAATATTGGTCATTATTGTTTCTGAAGTTCTCTACCTTACTAATCTGTGGATACCATTCCAGCTTATTTACCACTCTAGAATTCACAAATGATTTTAACCTTTTGTTGGAAATAGCAACTTGTAAGATACGTTCAGGACTAAATGCAGTTTGATTGCTATTAATGATGTTAATGTGCTGTTGTGTCTTTCCTCCAAAAAGAGAGAAAGGTGTAGTCTGATCCTCCCGCCCCCCATCATTCTCTACCTACTCTGGCTCAGCCCCATATACTTAACCTTTTAAAAGAGGAATTCCTGAGCCTTGCCATCTACTTTAGAATTTGCCAAGTTTTTTTGACTTTTTTTGATGTGGTATGATGTGGTAGGCTTGCTGATAGCTTTGACACAAAGAAAGTGAAATAGATGATATAGGAGAGGAGAAAAAAAGAAATATAGTTGGAGTTTGACTATACAAATGTTTGAAAAATTATGTAAAACAGGGAAAAAAGGTATTTCCCTGTTTTCACATATAGTGTTTTCTTAAAAATATGCTGAATTTGAATGGGTAAAAAGAGACCAATAGACTTCACATTTTATTGGGGGTTAGGAGGTGGGGAGTACTCAAAGAACCAAAAGTAGTTTAAAGTTTCTATTTACACTTTACTTTGTAGGCGCAATATTCAGTGACATATTCTTAGCATGTTCTTTGGTTCTATTTTCCTCTATAACACTTAAATTACTGAGCTAAGTCAAATAAGTATCCAGTTGAGACTAAACATTTTTGCTTTTGGCTTACCTAATAAGGCCTCACCTACCTCAGGCACATTCAGCTTTCATGTATGTGCTGGAATGTAAGCTCCATGTTAACTGCCGTATAATACTTAGTGCACCGAACATGTTCAAAATATATTTGCGGAAAGAATGAGTAAATTTATCGTTGTTTTAAATGTATAAGTTTTGAGGCCTACAGTTTTTGTTAATGTCAATCCTTTGCTGTTTTTATTCATTAATATAACATTAAATTCAGATGACACATTAGAATATTAAAATTTTATGTGCAATGTGATATTGTTGAAGTTAAACATTATTATACAGTTAAAAGTTTATATTTAAGAAGCTACGAATTTGGCATTGGCAAGGCATTTTAGGGTAATATAGGTTAATATGTGTAAGTATGGCTGATGGAGGTTTAAGAATTACTTGTTTTTGAATGTGATAGACTGTATGAGAAAAGGTAGAATATATGAATATAACAAGATAGAAAAATGGGGAAAGACCCCATACTTTAAGAAATTCTACTGTTGATGAAAGTGTTCTTGTTTCAAGCAAATTACAAAATATTACAGTCCTAGACAAATATAATTCAGTGAGTAATTTGAACCCACTCTATTTAAAGTGAAGGATTTATTAACATCCAGAGAAGTCTCTTTACTTGTTCCTCCCAATGTGAGGTTTTGAAAATATGACCTTTGTTAAACCCTTCTTACTTCATCGTGTTTTCTTTGTTCAACCCATGAGTGGCCCAAGAGATTTGGAAGGTCTTTTGTGCTTTAGGCTTACACAGATGTGAGATGGTATGATGCTTCTTTTGGAACTGAGGAAAAGAATAACTTCTGGAATAGTGTGTGATATTTCTCCACTTTAGGGGAAGTGTATGAGGGTGGCTTACTACTAGTAAAATAGATATGACCATTTCAGCATGCATTCTGGAATCCTGCAATAGCTTTATATCACAACCACATTGCGTAACAACACTGGAAACAACCATATTATTGTGTTTGTTTATCGCAAAAACCAGTATTTGCTTCATCCTGTGCCTAAATGTCTAGTCCTCTGAAGCTGAGGGAAGTGAAAAGAGAAATTGACGACTTGGGCTAAAACCTTGTTTGTGTGTGTTGATTGGGAAGGTTTAGATGCCGGCATCATTCTAGTAATTACCTTTCGATTCATTTGTTGCAATATACTATATTCTGAGGTCTAGACTCATCTATAAATAAATAGAGATCTTTTGTGAACTTAAATATCTTTATTACTGTGTTTAAATGCCAGATCGAAAAAAGTAGCCATATATATATATATATATATATATATATATATAAATAATATATATATAAATAATATTACAGACTATACAACATATATTATAAACTGTATATATGCCTATACTATATCTGCTGAAGAAAAATGTTATGGTAAATTATAGATTCAAGAATTAGGAGAGAAGGGTATAAAAATGCACTCCCATTTTTATTCTTTTAGGTAAGCAGAATTTTATATAGTTTCTGTACAGCATTCAAACGTTCTTCCAGACAAGTGTCTGATGTTAAAGACTCAGTTATTCCTACACCCGACAGTGACGTGTTTACCTTCAGTGTCTCCTTGGAGGTAAAAGAAGATGATGGAAAAGGAAACTTTAGGTGAGGTTATTTGGAATGAAAAAAAAAATGATATTGTGCCTGAAATATGATATTGGCTAATATAATGAGGCCAGAAACTATACAATGTTCATTTAAAGCTTTAAAATGCTAAAGAAATATTTGGTGAATGAATATGTTTCACTTTTCTCCTGATTTTAAAATATTTTATGTAAGTGATTTTCTTAATATTTAAAAGTCTTGATATTTATTATAGAAAACTTAGTAAAATAATAAAGGTAGAATAAAAAACAGCTGTAGTATTGTCAGCTAAGACAATCACTTTTAATATTTTAGTTATTTCCTTTGTTTATTTCTAGGAGGTATTTTTAAATATATTCCTATGCATATAAATTTTTCTTTTAACTTTATAAGAATTTTTTATTAAAATGTACTTAATCAAAATTATTTTTAATGGTTACCAATAGTATATTGTGTGGTTTGACCATCATTTACTTAACCAGTTCATTCTATGGTATATTTAGAATGTTTTTTCCATTTCAAAAATAGGTGGATAATAGGACACAGTTGTATTCTTTTGTTTTTAATCCTCACCTGAGGATATTTTTGTATTGATTTTAGAGAGAGTGGAAGAGAAAGGGAAAGACAAATATTGATGTGAGAGAAACACATCGAATGGTTGCCTCCTGCATGTGCCCTGACCAGCCCAGGCTGGGGAGGAGCCTGTAACTGACGTACATGCCCTTGACTGAATCGAACCCGAGACTCTTGATCTGCAGGCCGACACTCTATCCACTGAGCCAAAACAGCGAGGGCTCCATGTTTTTTTTTTCATTCATTCCTCACCCCCATTTGTCTTTACACTCAGGGTGAAGGATTTTTATTCCAAGCTCTATGTGAGCCAAACCGGGTAGGGCCAGTCATATTCTAATGATCACTTACTAGTAAGTGCCTTAACTGTGCTTTCAATTTTAATAATTGTTAGGTAGGTATTTTATCTGTTTATTATAGATACAGAAATTGATCCTAGGTCAAATAAGTTGCTCAAGGTTTCTTTCTTTTTCAGATAAGACAACCTATATTTTAGACATTTATTGTTTTAATAACTCTTGCGAATATTCAGTCTTGCCTAGGCTAGAATGCCGCAATCTATATCACTTTGTCCATTTTTTATGTATATTTTCCTGGATATATCACAGTCATCTCACATTCTAAATCAGTGATTCTCAACCTGTGGGTTGCGACCCCTTTGGGGGTCGAACGACCCTTTCACAGGGGTTGCCTAAGACCATCGGAAAACACATATATAATTACATATTGTTTTTGTGATTAATCACTATGCTTTAATTATGTTCAATTTGTAACAATGAAAATACATCCTGCATATCAGATATTTACATTATGATTCATAACAGTAGCAAAATTACAGTTATGAAGTAGCAACGAAAATAATTTTATGGTTGGGGGTCACCACAACATGAGGAACTGTATTAAAGGGTTGTGGCATTAGGAAGGTTGAGAACCACTGTTCTAGATGTTTAAAAGTAAGCTCATCTTCTAATTTTTTTTTTGCCTTGGGTTTCACTATGTTAAAAGAACTCAGAACTGCACTTCCAGCTAAATCAGACATGGGACTGTCTTTAAAAACAAGTTATTAAATCATATTCCTAAATCTGTTAAATTTAAAAAATAAAATTTGAAATGATGTCATTTACAAAATCTTGTTTTTAACCTCTGTTAGGTTTTGTTGATTATAAAATTACTAGAGGCCCAATGCACGAAATTCATGCAAGAGCAGGCCTTCCTTCCCCCGGCTGCTGGCACCGGCATCCCTCTGGCACCCGGGATACAGGCTTCCCTTGTGGCCCTGGCTTCCGGAAGTTGTCCGGAAGATGTCTGGTCTAATTAGCATGACACTTTTATTATTATAGATAGTTTGTTACTGTGTGGCAGGATGAGAGTTTAGTACATTTTAAGAATAAGGGTGGTGTTGCTTAAATACCTTGTCTCATTCTAATGTTGCAATAGATTATCTTATGTTATTTTATTACTTATTGTATTGATAATTCCTTTTCTTTTTGCATATTTCAGTCCTGTGCCTAAGGACAGAGATAAATTTTATTTCAAATTGAAGCAAGGAATAGAGAAGAAGGTTGTGATTACAGTGCAGCAACTTTCTAACAAAGAATTAGCTATTGAAAGGTAAGCAGCTTGCTCCTAAATGCTACCCCAAACTTGTATTGACATTGTTATTGTGTTTCAAGAGACATACTATTGAATCTCAGCTGTATTAGTCACTGTGGCTTTTCACCATACTTCAGTTTCTTCATTTAAAAAATAAGATGAGGATGAGAATCATAATACTCTCTGCGCTTAAATAAGTTAGATATAACTGGTTCATTGAAATCTCATTAATGGGAGCAATAAACATGAAATGACTATTTTTTCAGTAACTTCTTCAACCCTGTTTGGTCAAATCAATCTTTCTTGCTATTCCTTATTTATATATATGAGACAGATACCTCAGAAGGCAACTTTGCATTTGTCAAGTCTGTAATAACACAGGCCAAGAAGTATTAGATGTTGAGTACAGTGGGGCCTTGACTTACGAGTGTCCCGACTAACGAGTTTTTTGAGATACCAGCTGTCTCTCCGCCGATTTTTGCATTGAGTTGACAGAGTAATTTGAGTTAACGAGCTCCTTAATGAGCTCGGTCTCGGAATGAATTGAACTCATAAGTCAAGGCCCCACTGTAATTTAACTTTTAGTAATTACTTAAAAATCTTGGAGTTTTATGATTAAGAGGTCTAATATGCCTCTACTTTAGAGGCATATAGTGTACTTATATATAAGGTACAGGCCTTCCTTTTTCCAATGAGAAGCTCCCAGTTTGAACTCCTTGAATGTAGAAACCTTGATGAATAAAGGTGAAATCATTGAGTGCCCAAACATAATATTTTTTTTTGGTTAATTTAAACATTTGCATATACATTTAAAATATATTACACAAAATAATAACTTAGAAATGTTGCTTTTTGTCCATGCTCACATTCATAAGACAACTGTAATTAGAATCTCTTCAATAATCTTCAACATCAGTGTCTTCATTATCACTTCAGCTGCTTTTGGAGTAATTTTAAGGCATATTTTAGAGCACATTATGTGAACTCTGCCTAAGTTGAGGTAAAGCACTTTTGTAATCATAACATATTGCTGCATCATTAGAAATTTTATCTAAGCCCCAAGTACCCACTTGCATAATATTAGGGTGGTCAAAAATTATTACCTTTATAACCACTTACTGTATTGCTCTTATTTTAATATAAGTAATATTGATGATAGTATCTAACAACTGTGAGTTCATATATACTACAATAATTACTAAATCCATGTTAAGTTTCTTTGTTTCCTTTTTCACACATCTGTCAGATGAGCTCTGCAAACATAGACTCTAGTGTGATAGGCCTGGTGTTGGAGGATAGATGCAGAGTGGAAGGGGTAAATGGAGAAAAAAGGGAACATCTGTAATACTTTCAACAATAAAGATAAATATACAATAGAATGAACTGGTTAAGTAAATAAAGATAAATTAAAAAAATAAAATTGACTGAGATTGCTTCAGGCTAATGGTCTTCCTTTAATAATAATTTAACAGGCAAAATTTCCTGTGATGTGAATTTTTTTTGGTAACTGCTTGGAATTATTATTATTATTATTATTATTATTCAAAAAATACACCCTTGTCTTTTTAAAAAAATATATATTTTATTGATTTTTTACAGAGAGGAAGGGAGAGGGATAGAGAGTTAGAAACATCGATGAGAGAGAAACATCGACCAGTTGCCTCCTGCACACTCCCCACTGGGGATGTGCCTGCAACCAAGGTACATGCCCTTGACTGGAATCGAACCCGGGACCCTTCAGTCCGCAGGCTGATGCTCTATCCACTGAGCCAAACCGGTCAGGGCACACCCTTTTATTGGTTATATGTGGTATTTAATATTTTTAAATCTCAAAATGTTAAATGCTGGAATTTAAGGTAATTCAGTAGGTGGCAGTCTTGTCAAGAGAATTCTTAACACCTCTGGATTGTAAACGTTGTTGCTGGCAGTTACCTTTTTTTGAATTATTTTCTTAAGGAAAAGATTTCCAAGCCAACAGGTACTGAAAAAAAAATCATCAGGGGCTATTTTCTTCTTACAGTCCAAACAATTTTCTAGCATAGTTTGACATCACTAAAGTAGACAGGTGGTAGTGTTTGAGCTGTTTGTTATTTTTGTGCTGATTTAATTGGATGTTAGTCCATTCTGAGGGTCTTTTGCTGAATTTGCCTAGCATATACTTTTGTCTTTACCCTAGGCAAGTTGTTCCCGTTTGATTTAGAAAGAAGCTCAAGTCACTGACTTCAAGTTGCCTAGATGTTAGTTTTATTTGCATCTTTTATCCCCTTATGTAAGTTAGTGTATCTATGAAATCTTTTAATCAAATCAAGAGTCTCAGGTATCCTAATAACTTTTCTTAATGGACATCCTGAGAATGAGAAAAATTTATTAGGAAGATAACTCTCTTTTTCCTTAGGAAAGCAAAGTTTAGTTATACAAAAACGATTTCATTGTTCTCTGATAGTTATTTTAGATGCTTTGAGAGTTAATAATTGGAAGCTTCTGTTTTTCAGCCTTTGGGCTGGAACTTGTGATTAGGACAGAATTTTCAATGTCTTTAATTGCTGGCTTCTGCTGGCACCCAGTAGATGGAGATAGCACTATAGACGTATGTATGTAGTACTACTACCTTTTTAGAGTCAGATACTAAGAAATACTGTGTTCGTATAAGTTCATCTATTACAGATGTTGGAGCTCATATTTAAATAAACTTTTAAATTTGAAATAATTATGGATTCACAGGAAATTACAAAATAGTATAGAGAGGCTCCATGCATACTTCCCCCAGCTTCTCTAAATGGGAACATCTTATATAACTCTAGTACAATAGGAGAATTAGGAAATTGACATTGGTACAATCTATAGATTTCTATTGGAGCTCTTTTAAAAAAATATATTTTTTTGATTTCAGAGAGGGAGAGATAGAACTATCAATACTGAGAGAGAAGCCGAAACCGGTTTGGCTCAGTGGATAGAGCATCGGCCTGCGGACTGAAAGGTCCCAGGTTCGATTCCGGTCGAGGGCATGTACCTGGGTTGCGGGCACGTCCCAAATAGGAGATGTGCAGGAGGCGGCTGATTGATGTTTCTCTCTCATCGATGTTTCTAACTCTCTATCTCTCTCCCTTCCTCTCTGTAAAAAATCAATAAAAAAAATAAATATAAAAAAAAATACTGAGAGAGAAGCATTGATTGGCTGCCTCCTGCAGGAACCTTCCCCCCCCCGCCCCGCTACTGGAGGTTGAGCTTGAAACCCAAGTATGTGCCCTGATCGGGAGTTGAAATGTGACCTCCTGGTTCATAGGTCTATGCCCAATCACTGAGCCACATTGGTTGGGCTATTGGAACTCTTTTTAAATTCTTTTCTAAATCATAGTATACTTCTATAATATAATAATAATTTATTAATTAATTGATTGCTTTTCTAGTGGCAAGAGACCTTTACTTAGCTTTATTTAACTTAAGGTGACTAATCAAGACAGTTATGGACAAAGGGGCTTCTGGGCCTTAGCTGAGGAGAGTTCCAGGTTGTTCAAATATAGAAGTAATTTTTTATTATGTTATACTAGTGGCCCGGTGCACAGATTCGTGCACATTGAAAGGAAATTAATTAGAAGATTCGTGTGGTAATTACGTTACTGCAAAAAATTACATGTCAAAATAGTATTTATAATATAGTAGTATATTGGCACTAGCGAGAGCTTTATATGTATTGCGCATGTGCAAGTCCAGGTTTATTTTTAAATTGTCAGTGCGTGTCATATGTACCGACTGGTAGGTCAGTCAGATGATCGATGAATAAATCATGATGTGGTTCATGTTGAATGTCAACAAAAACAACCAAATTGACAATGACAAATCAAAACACACGCATGCGATTGGCACCAGTGAGAACTTTACATGTATCGCGCATGCGCGAGTCAACGTTTATTTTTAAATTGCCAGTGCTTGTCATATGTACCGGCTGGCTGGTTGGTTGGATGGTCAGACAGAGGTACGGTTGGTCACTTAGCCTTTTTATATATATAATGTTATATTGACATATAATACTGTAAATTCAAGGTATACAACATATTGATTTGATATATTTATGTATTATAATATGATTACCATTGTGATAGTTAGCACCTCTGTAATGTCATATAATTATTTTTTTGTGATTGGAATAATTAAAATTTGGTCTCTGAGCAAGTTTGATTATACCACAGTACTGCTTTCTACGTTCACTATACTGTGCGTTAGACCTCTGTTACTTATTTACTACTAGTTGCAAGTTTGTGCCCTTAAACAACATCTCTTCTATTCCCCACTCTCACAGCATAGTATCTTCAAGGTCCATTTATGTTGTAGCAAATGGCAAGATTTTCTTATTTATCATGGCTGAATAATATTCGTGTGTGTGTGTGTGATCTTTATTCATCCATTGATGGGTACGTTGGTTGTTTTTATATCTTGGTTATTGTGTATAATGCTGCAATAAACATGGGAGTGCATATATCTCATATCTCTTTGATATCCTGTTTTCATTTTCTTTGGGTATATATCCAGAAATGGTATTTCTGGATCATATGGTAGATCTATTTTTAAATTAAAAGAAGTTTTTTTGAGGAACCTCCATATTTTTCATAATGGTGAGCCAATTTACATTCTTAATTTACATTAAGAAAATAATTTCTTATTTATTGGTTTAGGAAATTGTGATTTCAAACCTGGCTGTTAAATAATTAGAAGAGATGGGGTATTTTAATTATATTCTATGCTGATAATCAGTTTACTGTCTCTTGGTTCCAAATCTACCCTTTTTGTCTCCATTAGTTGAAGCTTTACCTATTTCTTCTTTGCAAGCAAGCACAATATTAAATTGTGCCAGTAGAGGGTGCTGGAGGGACACTGCAGGAGAAAGGGACTTTTCCTGGTTCTGGTGTGCTTATTTCTTGCTGCAAGATTCTGGAACATCCAACGGTGCTGTGCTCCAGCTGGGCATCCAGTGCACGCTCACCCTCTATTAGCCCTCAGTCCTGGTCCTGACTCAGCGAGAC